TCAGAGTTGCCGATAGATATAGAAGAAGGAGCGAATGGAGGGAGAGGTTTGTTTTGAGAGTGGATGAGAAGGATTTCCGTTTTATCATCATTTAGCTTCAGTTTGTTGCAAGTCATCCAACGCTTTACATCGTCCACGCACTCCTGTATGCGAAGGATTGTGGCATCAAGTTGATCAGGAAAGCAAGAGTCACTGATTTGAGTGTCATCAGCAAAGGATTGACTGGAAACTGAGTGGTGGCTAATGAGAGATGATAGAGGTTTAATGTAGAGGATGAAAAGGACCGGCCCAAGGACCGATCCTAGAGGAACTCCAATAGACAGGGCTGAAGGTTTGGAAGAGCGGTTGGAAATAGAGACTTTTTGAGTTCTGTCAGAAAGATATGATTGGAACCAGTTTAAAGCTGAGCCAGTAAGTCCGAAAAAAAGATGAAGACGGTCAAGAAGAATCTGGTGGTCAATGGTATCAAATGCAGCAGAGAGATCAACAGAGTGAGAATAGAGAGTTTGCCACCGTCCATCGCGCACAGGAGGTCGCTCATGACTCGGACCAGTGCTTTTTCTGTGCTATGACCAGGCCGCTAGGCGGACTGAGAGGAAGGATAGAGATTGCGAGAGTGAAGATAGTCATTTCTATATAAAGTGGTCACGGGGGCTACTGCCGGCCATTCCAGCTAACACGGTATCTCACCCCACAGAAGCCAGGTCGCTTCATCAGAGCCAAACGCTCAATAAACACGGACTTCCCCTCTTACAACTCCATGAGCAGTTTCAACCGGAACAATAGTAAATGCTTCACTGTGCCTCGGTGTAACACAGTCCAATATAAACAATCATTCTTCCCACGAACAATAATTGCTTGGAACCAAATGGACAATGTCGCCGTAGACTCGACATCAATCGAGAGTTTCAATCAGAATAAGCATTGTAGCTGCATGCTTCTAACTTTGCATGTTTTTTTTTAAAAAAGAAAAATCCTTTTATGAAACGCTTTTAAAAAGTTACTCAGATTTTTTTTTCAAACTTTTTTAAAGATCTCAGATTTATGAGGAAAGTCAAATATCAGGATGAAAAGTGTTATAGCTACATACTTCAAGCTTTGTATTAATACACTCTACATAACTTTTTTTGCTTTTTTTATATCTATTCAACAAAAGTTTTAAAAATATTTTTTACATATGCTACCCAAAAAAATGTGCATAATTTGTATGTGACACCCACATACATGTCATGTGCAGCGGTCCCCATCATTACGATGCGTTGAGCCTGCATACGTGTCATGTGCAGCGGTCCCCATCATTACGATGCGTTGAGCCTGCATACGTGTCATGTGCAGCGGTCCCCATCATTACGATGCGTTGAGCCTGCATACGTGTTTGAACAATGTTATTAACTATCAGTGTGCACAATTATATTGCGATCTAGCTGAACCACTTATCTTGAATCACGTTTGTGTAGCTGTCAAATTTTTTTTTTTTTTTTTTTGCAAAAAAAGTTTATTTTAAATACTCAAAATAAAAATATGTGTTTTTCTTTGCGTCTTTCTATTGTCGTATAGTAAGTATGTCAATTTTTTAAATATTTTTTTTTAAATTAAGGAAGATGAATTTTTTTTTGTTTTGTTACCACCTTAAATTGTCATATCTGTCCTGCCCCATTGTTGACATCAAATAATATTTTTAAAATCTTTTTTAAATGACCGGATTATCATTTTCCCCTCTCTTTATTTTCAGACTGAGTTAATTAAATATGCAGCAAACAAAAAAACAAAAAAAAAACCAAACAAAACAAAACAAAAAACGAAAAAACATTCTGAGATGATCCTTGCAGTGTAGGGCGGCAGTAAATTCTACTAAAAAACTTTGATCAACTGCATGACCCGTTTTTATCAACGGAAATCTTTTTTGTTTATAATTTGTTTAAAGAACGACTTTGCATTCACTCACGCATTGCATTTTTTAGTCGAAAGGTTAAAATGGACATTTTAAAGTAATTCGTAGTGTAGTCTAGCAGTCACCCATGGAAATTGAAGTAGCAGATAATTGATATTAGGGATGGAAAATCCTCATTCGATATTTCAGTAACCTGATGTTAGTGTTTAAAATGTTGATATAGTTAGGTTTTTTTTTTTTTTTTTTGGTGGGGGTGTCATCCTTGAAAGTTTGACGGTCCTTGACCCCTACAAAAAATAGGTGGTCAAAAACCCCTTTTAAAATTTTTTGACGCATTTTCAGATAATTGATATTAGGGATGGAAAATCCTCATTCGATATTTCAGTAACCTGATGTTAGTGTTTAAAATGTTGATATAGTTAGGTTTTTTTTTTTTTTTTTTTGGTGGGGGTGTCATCCTTGAAAGTTTGACGGTCCTTGACCCCTACAAAAAATAGGTGGTCAAAAACCCCTTTTAAAATTTGTTGACGCATTTGATGGACGCATCTACTTAGACTTATCAGATTATTAGATATTTGAAAATATAAATTGTAGTCCTTCCCATTTAAGAATACCGTTAACGTCTGAGAATGTGCATCTGAGTTTATCGATTTAACTCTTGCCAATTTTATCGATTTAAATCTGGCCAATTTTTCCATATGGGGAACCTTATATGCTGTTGTATATCGAAGAAACACAAATACACGCGCCTTTTTTTTTTTTTTTGGGGGGGGGGGGGGGGTATTGACGTCAATGACTTCATTCCTATAGCTGTCCTCTTGGATGCAACATCTCGGATACAGCACTTTAGCAAAGTTTTAATTTTTATAACTATTTGTTCGCAGAAGAGCGCCTTTTTTATAAAAATGTTTGTTGCATTTTTTTTTCGTTGTGTTTTTGTTTTGTTTTTGTTTTTGCGTCCTTTTTTCAGGTTGTTAACAAACCTCGTTCCAAATTGTTCAAACTATCCTACTTCCTACTGATCAATTTGTAAATGTACAAGAAAGAAGTTTGCCATAAAAAACAAATGTGTGGGAGCTTCTCGGCACTACTTAATAACATCTTTTAAGTATTGATGTAACTTGTCATAATCTCATTAAGTTTGAATACACTTCGCATTAAAATGTTTGTACAAGTTTTTTATTTTTTCTTCTTCTTAGATGATCCCCATTTCGAATTGTGTGATCCTTCCGTATTCGTGTGGCATTTGATGGTTTTGTTAAGTAGTCTTAATTTTGAATTGTATTTAGTAGTAAACTGTAGCAGTTAAAAATTTAAAATAACCTAGTATTCCCAAGGCCGCAAGGGCCATAATTTTTGTTTGAAAGGACACAAGAATAAAACTAAAAATAATACTAAACACTAAGCTCTCTGAAGGATAATTTTTAAAAGCAGTAATAAAATCTATACATTTTAAATCGTTTTGATTTTTAATGTAAAGAAATGAGTGAGGATGCAAACATCACCGAATTTATGCGAAATCTATTATATGAATATAAGCAAATCAGAGGTAAGTGAAGTCAAAGTGTAAGTGTAAGTCAAAACAAGTCTTTTAGCTTACAAACAAAGCATAATAAAAACTAATTTACTTGCCTGTAACTTTAAAAAAAAAAACAAAAAAAAACTAGATTACTAGTTTAGGCCTTATTTAAGATTAATTAGATCACAAATCATATTCTATTACTGTGTGAATGGGTGATTAATAACATAATTGTCATAATTAAATGAATCAGTTTTTTTGTTGTCCTTACATTTAAAACCAAGGAAAATACAAGAAAAATTGTTGGAAAACTAACACATGTTCAATTTATTATTTATATTATTACTGTTCAGTAAAATGTTTTAATGTTGTTCCATTACTTAACTAACTCTTAGTCTTAGACTTGGGTAAATTTTAATTAGTTTAGAGATTTTTAATTTTAAAATGCTCCAATGTTAGGCTTATACTTATATCACTCGTCAATGACAAAATTGTTAACCCTTGGAGATGGAGCCTTTATAGGGCTGTCTGTGCCAAAAAGACGGAGCACTTTTTACAAACTCGGCACTCACATTGCAATAAAATGTATACAAAAATAAACTATTGATTTTACATTTATAAAAAAATTGAATAAACACGTAAATGATGTCATGGGATGATCACTAAGAATATGTATATTCTTGTATAAAATTGAATAAGCTAGTACAATATTTATAAATCAAACTTAAATTTCAACATTTATGCAAATGGTCTGTCCTGATTTGCATAATTTATGCATACAATTTTTGGCTAAACTAAGAATAAACATGACTTACCGGTGTAAATTGTGTGAATTTTTTGATGGATGAAGCATGAATAGATCCTAACACACATGTTTTGGGAAATGAGGCCCATTGAGGCCCTTCAGACACCCCTGGCATAGAGTTCTACTCCTTTTCCTGCCCTCTGGGTACTTTTCGTTTGCTACAGATAAAGTAGTCATTTTCACCACTGTGCACCCAATTATGGTTTATTTGAGCTGGGTGTTACTGAGAAAGTTTTCTGCATACTTTTAGGTAATTATTATTCTCTCTCATAAATATTTTAATGATATTTTGTATAAAATTAGCATAAAGTACTCAACTGGAGTGCTTATCCCATGAGGCATATTTATAGGCTCTATTTTTTCTAAAAATTCATAGAGGTCTATACAATTCAGAAACCCTAATCCTAAACCAAGGATTCACAACATTATAGTAAACATAATCATTTTGATTGTCTTCGTTACATTCCTGGTTGTTTTCATCAGTGTCAGATTCACTGCTAGACAGTGAGAAATCAGAACCACTAAGCACAATTTGATCAGAGTCGCTGTTAGACATGTTTGAATTTCACGATATAACTATAAACACAAAAAAAGTTCCTGCACACAAATAAATTTAGTTGACCATCAACGAACGCCACCATTACAATGCCGGGATGTGCAGGAATACGTAAGAATAATTTTGATTCGCTGGTACAACACCAAGCCAGCCAATCGTGAGGCTCGATTTATCGGGCCAATGGTTCGGACTTTTGTCTTTCTCGCTAGTCAACCTTGGGCCGATAGATCAGCCCTTACGTCGCCAGGGGGTTAATTTATGATTCTACTGACTACTGTTGCAGACTGTAGTTAGTTACTAGACTAGGGTAAAAAAGCATTTTAGTAAATGTATTTATTCATTATAAATGCATAATACTGAACATACATACTAAGAGGCAAAAGGGGCCATCAATGAACGATTTCACACTATTTTGACAAAAATTTTTACACACCCCCACCACTACAAAAAGTAAATCGACATAAATTATCAAAGAATAAAAGAAATTTGGACACAAACGACTTGTCACTCATCAATTCAAATAATAATTTTGAAATGTAAATATTAAGGCAGTTGAAATAGTTATATTATATTTATGGAATAAAATCATCTTCATATTATCAAGATCTTCTATTCTACAAGATAATACAACAGTTACATTCCACATGAGTTCTCTAAGAATAGTTACAATCACATGCACAATAATCCTAAAGAATTCGCCACCTTATTAAAATAAATTTGAAGGTGTTTTCGGAAGAATAATTCCTAGTATTAGCACTGCCTTCAAACTAATATTTACGACTATCCTAGTGTCTGTCCAACTGTTTTATGATTTCTATATCATACGATGAATCATATTGAATATATTGTATATTATTTATTTGTTATTACCACAAATAAGTATATATTGTTACCGGTTTTAGTAACGTATAGTGTATAAAAAGCAATAGCGATTTGATGAATCCCCAGAGAAACACATATATACTCAGATTAATATTGACGAGATTGACATTGGTAGAGTATGGAAGTTCAGTGTAAAATGGCATATGTAGATGTTGGTGGGATACAAGTTTCAGAAAATTCTCAGAAATAACATTACACCTAAAATTTAGTTCTTTCAACTATATTTGGTGTGCTAAAATGAAATAATAAAAAATGGGAAATTGATCTATTTCTTTTCTTTCTTTTCAAAGGAAAAAATAAAAACATTTTAGGCAAACCCTTTTGGGATTTGGTTGTCATAACAACAGCAGATGAAGCTCAGAAAGAGGCCTTTGAACTTCAAATTGATGAGAAGAGGTCAAGACAGGAACTACCTCTTGATCTTCCTATTCATGTTGTTTCTGATCCACCCGGTGTTAGAATAGGTAAATAATATTTTAAAATTTGAAATGCTTGGTCTTAATTAATAAAATTAATTAGGGACATCTAATTTTCAATTAATCTGCTTTGCCCGTGTTATTAATTATGAAATATTTTTCAAATATTGATTTAGGTAATGGTGGCTCAACTCTTGTGGCTTTGGAATATCTTGACAAAATCTACTGTGCCGAGATGTACGCAAAAAAAATATTACTGATACATGCCGGGGGTTGGAGTCAAAGAATGCCAAGCTCATCAGTGTTAGGGAAAGTGTTTTCTCTCCTGCCTCATGGAAATCCCCCATACCAAATGTTGGATCTGAAGTTGGCACTTTACTGGCCGTTAGTGGACAAAATTGAACCTGGGGTATTTTTAGCTTGTGCAGATGATTTTCTGGTCTATAGTTTTGGATCTAATAAAGATTGGAAAATACCAAGTAAAGGCTTCACTGCCCTGGCACATCCTTCGCCAATTAAAGTAGGCCAGTCTCACGGCGTGTTTGTAGTCAAAGACGAAGTTGATAAGACCCATCCAGTAGACGTCAGGGAATGTTTACAGGCTCTTCAAAAGTACACTGTTGAGAAGATGATCTCTCATGGAGCACTGATCAACGGAACACCACACATTTTCGCTGGTGGGATTGCTATAGAAGGGGAAGCAGTTTATACTGACAGCTCTTTCTACTTTGGAACAGATGTCATGAAGAAGCTTCTTGGATTTAAAAAGTCTGTGGGTGATATTGGCTGTGAAATTGATGCCTATGGAGATTTCCTCCAGTCTGTAGGATCACATGCAGATCGTAGCTACATCCAGCAGACGTCAAATATAAGTCAGCTGACTTCCAACCTTCAAGAGATGAGGAAAGGGGTCTTTGACTCATTGAATGGATCAGAATTTCATGTTCTAATCCTCAATGCTTCTGCTTTCATTCACATCGGCACGACAGCAGAATTTTTATACCATTTCTGCATGGACAGTGTATTCCAAGATAGAATGGCATTTGAAAAGAATGTATTTAATGGATGGACAAACTTTAATCATTCCGCTCAACCTTCAAATAGCAGCAGCAGTAATATAGCTCAAACATCTTGCATAATGCATTCTCTTATTAACAGCCAGTCAGCCATTGATGAGAAATGTGTGATAGAGTATTGTGATTTTGAGGTGCCAGTCCAGGTTTCTTCTGGTTGTATACTCAGCAACTGTCAACTCACCAAATCAGAATCTACCCTAAGTAAGAGTAGTCAAGTTATTCCAAGTCATTCCTTCCTTCACACGGTTCCTATTTTTGATAATGGTGCCGTGAAATTTGTCACAATTTTTTTCAATATACGTGATGACCTAAAGAAATCTACCACCTTTGAAGAGCTAGAGAATTTGCCTTTTATGGATTCAGACATTGGTCAATTTTTACTTGCTCAAGGTCTAACAAAGATGGATATCATTCCAAGAAAGCAAAATTATTTATTTGGCTCTCAAAAGAGTCAAAGCTGCCCTGCCACTGCATGTCCTTCGCCTCAAGCCAGCTCAGGTGACTGTGGCGTGGAACACATCAAACTAAGCCTGTGGAATTTGAAACTCTACCCAGCCAAGAGCACAATGACAGCCTCTCTAGAAGACGCAATACTTTCACTGTCTTCTTCTAACAGAGCTGATCACATCTCTGCAGCAAAATTTTCTGTTGCTGATCTCTTGAAAGTAAAAGACGTGAGGAGCATGCTCAAGTTTAGAAAAGCTTTACATGAGCATATCTCAGAACTACAGTCAGACTAAATTAATTGTAATCTCTTGAGGAGCTTGTGTGTCTATTTTAAAGACATGTCATGATAAATCCAGTGTATTTTAATTCAACTTCTTAGTCCCAATAAACAATTTTATGCATATAAAAAAACAATAAATATTTTAAGCTCCAATTATGATTAGACAAAATAAAAATTCAAATATTTAGGCACATGCTTGCATCAGCACAACAAAAAACATTAATACAATTCTAAATTAAATTTACAAAATGTGTATATCCTACTTATATCTAAAAATGAAAGAAAAGAATAAGGAAGAACACAAGTGCCAAATGAAAAGAAGAAATAAGATCAGAAGATCCAAATTAATGGTAGGTATGTTCTCATGTGTTTGCCCTGGATAGAGTTTTAAAGCAAGTATATCTGAACTTGTTAATAGCTCAATGCAAGGAAGATTGAACACGTTTTATTTTTAAAAGTAAGCTAATGCAAATTTTAAAAGTAAACACTAAGTTATTTTTGCTTTAAAAATTGTGTTGAAATTTCAGGTGCAGTCTGTTATTTAGACACTTGAAAAATTTCTTTGGAATGTTCCCTTATATGTTATAAATGTTACATGTATTTATCTTGCTATTTACTTTCCCAATCTAAGAATCTAAGGCTGTTAGGGAAACATGGACGTGATATATCTTCCCATTCTTTTTACATTTTGCTAACAAACTTAAATATGATTGTTCCATTTTGCAACGTGATACTCAAAATGTGCACTGTTTGAATCCTACATGCCAACTGCCTTGACTCAATACAATGTAGACCTGTATGGTCGCCTAACAAAAAAAATCAGATTAATATGGTACTCCTTGCAGTAGGGTGCTGTAATCACATCATCACTATAAGAGGTCTAGTGTCAGATGCAGGAACCTCTTCTATTTACATGAGTTACAGAAACTGCATTACAAATGGTGTAACCATGTCCTGGTAACTAATTGTGGTTTAGCCACCTCCTAGTAACTAATTGTGGTTTAACTGCATCCTGATAATAAACTTAACCAGATTTTCTAATCTGGGTATAAACATGTATTGTAAAAACCTATTAAAGTCACTGTTTACCACATGACTTGGGAAAGATTACTTCATGTAATGGTTATGCTAATGAAATTCTTGTTTTAGATTTAGTTATGTTTAAAGATGCCAATGGTTCAACAAAAATTATGTTGTTATTCTTGCTCATTTTTTAGGCTATCAGATTTTTGACGTCTTACTGTTTTTTTTAAAAGTAGTAATTTGACCAAGTTTTAGGTTTTTGTTTACCAATATGGAGTCTGGTGAACTCCAAAATTGCTCAGAAATCTTTTTTTTTTTTTTTAATTAACTTGTTTTAACTAAGATGAATGTGATAATTATTTGTATTTTGCTTCAATAATGTGTTTCTGCTTTCGGAATCACATTCTTGTAACTATAAAAGCAAAACAGGAAATTAAAGAAGAGGAATTAAATACTGGTAGATCTAATTGTCATTTTTCATGTTAAGATAATTGATCCCTTGCATCAGGCAGAATCCAAAGTTAGGTGGGATAAACAAAAACCTTAAATGAAATATACTTAATTTGTTTTAATAATGTTGGGAAATACTTAAGGGAAATCCTCAAAGGCTTTCCCGTAACAGTGTTAACTGTTAACTATGTTTTATTTTGTTACAAATGGGTTTATGTTCTGAGTACATGTGTTTTTATTGACAGTTACAGATGATAAATATAACGTAACAAAGTTTTTGGGATCCATTTAATTTATGTTAATTTTATTTTTCATGCGTTTTTAATAATGAATTCACCGGGATCTTTTAAATACCTTAAAAAAAATGAATGGGCAATCTTAAATTATTATATAACCTAATTGGAAATGGCTATGATATACTTTTCAAAGGTTTGAAAAGTCTGCAATAATGAAAGAGTTGATGAAATAATCTTCTTTATTGATTATAATGTACGATAAATCTTGAGGTGCATATATATTGAATATATAAAAGTTTATAATCTATTATAGGATATAGGTGAACCTAAAGATTTAATATATTATTGTTATTCAAATTATGTCTGCCCAGCTGCAATCCAAGTTGTTTTTAAAATGCACAATCTAATGAAATGTTAATGTGGGTAATTTTGATGGGCTTTGATGATTAAAAATCGAAGCCATATTGCTTTGGCTATGTGCTAATTTTTCATAACTTTTAAAAACTAAACATCTATACCGGGTACTCTGCAATTTTATTTGGGTGACACTGCCACCGAAACCCAGTCTTGAGTGAAATCCTGTCAACATCAAATGTTCACCATGAACTCATATTGAATGAAAGCCCCCCCCCCCCTTTTCCTGAAGACCAATGTATTGGGTTATCATGTTTATACACCCACAAGAAAGTTTAACTCAAATTGAATAAAAGCCCCCCCCCCCCCCCTTTTCCTGAAGACCAATGTATTGGGTTATCATGTTTATACACCCACAAGAAAGTTAAAGCTGCTGGAAAGGCTTGGCAAGTATGGCTTATAGAAGATGATCTAATCCACACAATATTTTACTCCTGTAGTTAAAAGTAAATGTAAATAAACAGGCTAATATTCAATATCTGATTTCCTTTTATACATTGCCTTAAATTTAGTGCTTATGCATTGTAGCAAGGATCTGTGGCCTACTTATTGCTTGTCTTATTGATCTCCTTAAATTGCTCACATTTTTCTGTCCTGCCATTGCAGGCAGTTTGAAAAGCACCGCCACACTTAATAAACAGCAGGACTTAACTATTTAGAAATAAAATGATCCTCGTAATATGTGATACTTTTTTAATAACAAATCTTGGTGAAAATTTCATGACAATGACAGTATTAGAATTTTATATTCTTGATAATGTGTGTGTGTTTGAAGAGATTTGTTTTTAAAAAGATAATTAACTCCTCAGGATTTCTATAGCGTATTGGAATGTTAGACAGATGAGATTCATGAAAAGCTTCTCATAAGTTGACTCGAGATGGCACATATACATGAGCACCTTATTGATGGGAAAAAACTTTTGTTGTAACATTTATTTAGGCAATCAACAGAGAAGCATTATACTCTACACGTGTTAAAGATTTATACTGATGCTCTATATTTTCCAACAGTGTGCACTTTAACACAATGAAGAGTCCAATATTCCAGTTCTTGTCATAAAGTGGGTGGGATATATGTATATCACATGGGCTCAAGTAAATATTTAATGAATGATATGGCTGCTATTGTATTTAATTTTCTTATTGAATTTACATTCATGGTGGACTTACTATTCTATATTTGTTTTATTTATTTATTTGATAATGTTTGTTGCTGACTTTTTAAGACACATTTACAAACAGCGTTGTTAAAGATGTACCCCTTCCTTTTGTAAGTTCATAAAATTAATTAGTGCCTATTTTTTCCAGCACCAATTACAGACAATTTTAAATTCTTTCTTTACTTATTTTTTTACAAATTGAATTAGGTCAACAACACAAAGATAATGATTTATTTTTCTTTATGTAATTATAATACTAAAATATTTTTTTCAGACTTTGTTTTTAAAGAAATGTTAAAGTTTAGTTGTTTGGTATATTAAGTTTTTAACTTAAGTTTGATAATTTTGTTTCCATCATTACCAGGCAGTGATGCAAGAAGGGGGTGCAGTCTGCCCTGGGGGTATTTAAGAAGGGGGTGCAGTCTGCCCTGGGGGTATTTTTAAAATTTTATATGGAGGGATTTTTTTTCTTTGAAGGTGACATCAAAATTCTTTTGCCCATCCCACGGGCCCTACTTTCTTTTGGAAAACCTTGAAAATCATTGAGGGTGCAAAAGTGCTTGGCCTGAATAGAAAAATGAAACTGAGGTGCAAATGATAAATCTTACATTTGGGTGTTAACAAGTCTTGCTTGAGTACATAAAACCACTATTAATATTTATATATATTTGAAACAAAATTTAGCCTATATTTTACAAAAATTAAATACCTGGTACAAACTAATAACCATACATTTTTTTAAACTTGTGATTATTATGTGATTTCTAATTAAAATCATAAATGGTAAATTACTGAATTAGTTGCAGAGATTTATATCAAGTGTTATCCACCCATGTAAATTGTCATCCCAATCTTTAAAGATTTTGTAGGCTACTCTGATTTTCATTTTTTTTGGATGCTTGAATGTTTGGAAATAAATGTTTTATGAAAATTCAGTTTCTTTGTTATTAATTCATTTTAAGTTACCCAATAGCCAAAATGTTGAAATAGTATTCCAGTCATTTATTTATTAAGTGATGTGTTGGTTTTTAAATAAATTTATGCTTCAGTCAAAAAACATACACACAATTATAGAGAACTTCCTATGCATATCGACCCATTATTCTCTCCAGATCCATTTTTTGACAGAAAATGTCTTGTATTTCTTACTCGGGGATTCTCAAGGTATGGGGGGGGGGGGCCACTAAATCGCGAAGGGTTCTGCAAGAAATCAAGAAATCTTCGAGGAGTAAGGCAGTTCAAAGAATTAAACATGGTTAACAAGTCGGGGAGGGGGGGGGGGATTGACATAACTACCTAGGTCGACATACACGACATCCCAGAGAATGTGTTCACTTTCACTTGAAGAGCAAAACAATTTTTTTTAAACTCAACACTCGCTCACTCACTCCTCACTCAAATTCTACTCATTTGCTCATGGTCTCCACTCACTTAACTGATTCAATCCACTCGCCCACTGCATTTGATCACTTGCTCACTCACTCACTGCAATAACTTCTCACTCACTTGCTCACTAAAGCTAGTGTCTCTTTGTCAAGATTTGAGCCAAATTTTATACTTAATTCTAGCTCCTTCCAGTCTCTCATGTGCTGCATTTGGTTCCTTGACTTTTCCTGCTCCTCCTGGGTCTTTCATCGTCAACTGCTGAAGTCTTTAGACGTTAGTCTCATTATTGTCACACCAAACAACAGTAAATGGGATCCTGAATTTTGCAATAAAGAATAATAAATGAAAGACTGCGTTCAAGCTGTGTGAAGGAAATAGAAGAACAAGGTATGCTCTACAATAAAATGTGTTAAAAAAATTGATAAAAATAAAACATTTAACTTGTTTACATTCAGCTCGAAAATGTGGCTACAGAGAATGTGGCTACAGAGAATGTGGCTACAGAGAATGCTCATCTACACTTATTCTTCTTATGCCTT